TAACATTCTGTGTTCTAAGAACTCTTCCTCTTCTAACATTCTTTGTTCTAAGAACTCTTACAGGTCGAACATTCTGTGTTCTAAGAACTCTTCCATGTCTAACATTCTGTGTTATAAGAACTCTTAAAGATGTAACATTCTGTATTCTAAGAACTCTTTCACGTCTTACATTCTGTGTTCTAAGAATTCTTCCAGGTTTAACATTCTGTGTTCTAAGAACTCTTTCACGTCTAGCATTCTGTGTTCTAAGAATTCTTCCAGCTCTAACATTCTGTGTTCTAAGAACTCTTCCTGTTTTAACATTCTGTGTTCTAAGAACACTTCCTGTTCTAACATTCTGTGTTGTAAGATCTCTTCCCCTTCTAACATTCTGTTTCCTAAGAACTCTTCCAGGTCGAACATTCGGTGTTCTAAGAACTCTTCCACATCTAACATTCAGTGTTCTATGAACTCTTAAAGATCTAACATTCTGTGTTATAAGAACACTTTCACGTCTAACATTCTGTGTTCTAAGAACTCTTCCTGTTCTAACATTCTTTGTTTTAAGATCTATTTCAGTTCTAACATTCTGTGCTCTAAGAACTCTTCCAGGTCTAACATTCTTCGTTCTAAGAACTCTTCCAGGACTAACATTCTTTGTTCTAAGAACCTTTCCAGGTCTAACATTCTACATTCTAAGAACTCTTCCAGGTCTAAAATTATGTGTTCTAAGAACTCTTCCTGTTCTAACATTCTGTGTTCTAAGAACTCTTCCTGTTCTAACATTCTGTGTTCTAAGAACTCTTCCAGTTGTAACATTCCTTGTTCTAAGAATTCTTCCAGGTCTAACATTGTGTTTTCTAAGAACTCTTCCACGTCTAACTTTCTTTGTTCTAAGAACTCTTCCTGCTTTAACATTCTGTGTTTTAAGATCTCTTCCAGTTCTAACATTCTGTGTTCTAAGAATTCTTCCAGGTCTAACATTCTTCGTTCTAAGAACTCTTCCAGGACTAACATTCTGCATTCTAAGAACTCTTACAAGTCTAAAATTACGTGTTCTAAGAACTCTTCCACGTCTAACATTCTGTGCTCTAAGAACTCTTCCAGGTCTAACATTCTGTGTTCTAAGAACTCTTCCACGTCTAACATTCTGTGCTTTAAGAACTCTTCCAGGTCGAACATTCTGTGTTCTAAGAACTTTTCCACTTCTAACATTCTGTGTTATAAGAACTCTTAAAGATCTAACATTCTGTGTTCTAAGAATTCTTTCACGTCTAGCATTCTGTGTTCTAAGAATTCTTCCAGGTCTAACATTCTGTGTTCTAAGAACTCTTCCTGTTTTGACATTCTGTGTTCTAAGAACTCTTCCTGTTCTAACATTCTGTGTTGTAAGATCTCTTCCAGTTCTAACATTCTTTGTTCACAGAACTCTTCCAGGTCTAACATTCTGTGTTCTAAGAACACTTCCACGTCTAACATTGTGTGTTATAAGAACTCTTAAAGATCTGACATTCTGTGTTCTAAGAACTCTTCCTCTTCTAACATTCTGTGTTGTAAGATCTCTTCCAGTTCTAACATTCTGTGTTCTAAGAACTCTTCCAGTTCTAACATTCTGTGTTCTAAGAACTCTTCCAGGTCTAACATTCTGTGTTCTAAGAACTCTTCCACATCTAACATTCTGTGTTCTAAGCACTCTTCCACGTCTAACATTCTGTGTTCTAAGAACTCTTCCACGTCTAACATTCTGTGTTATAAGAACTCCTAAAGATCTAACATTCTGTGTTCTAAGAACTCTTCCAGGTCTAACATTCTGTGTTCTAAGAACTCATTCACGTTTAGCATTCTGTGTTCTAAGAACTCTTCCAGGTCTAACATTCAGTGTTCCAAGAACTCTTCCTGTTTTAACACTCTGTGTTCTAAGAACTCTTCCTGTTCTAACATTCTGTGTTCTGAGAACTCTTCCTCGTCTAACATTCTATATTCTAAGAACTCTTAAAGATCTAACATTCTGTGTTCGAAGAACTCTTTCACGTCTGACATTCTGTGTTTTAAGAACTCTTCCAGGTCGAACATTCTGTGTTCTAAGAACTCTTCCACATCTAACATTCTGTTTTATAAGAACTCTTAAAGATCTAACATTCTGTGTTCTAAGAACTCTTTCACGTCTTACATTCTGTGTTCTAAGAACTCTTCCTGTTTTGACATTCTGTGTTCTAAGAACTCTTCCTGTTCTAACATTCTGTGTTGTAAGATCACTTCCAGTTCTAACATTCTGTGTTCTAAGAACTCTTCCAGGTAAAACATTCTGTGTTATAAGAACTATTCCAGGTCTAACATTCTGTGTTCTAAGAAGTCTTAAAGATCTAACATTCTGTGTTCTAAGAACTCTTTCACGTCTGACATTCGGTGTTCTAAGAACTCTTCCTCTTCTAACATTCTTTGTTCTACAAACTCTTCCAGGTCGAACATTCTGTGTTGTAAGAACTCTTCCACATCTAACATTCTGTGTTATAAGAACTCTTAAAGATCTAACATTCTGTGTTCTAAGAACTCTTTCACGTCTAACATTCGGTGTTCTAAGAACTATTCCACATCTAACATTCTGTGTTCTAACAACTCTTTCACGTCTAACATTCTGTGTTCTAAGAACTCTTCCAGGTCTAACATTCTGTGTTCTAAGAACTCTTCCTGCTTTAACATTCTGTGTTTTAAGAACTCTTCCTGTTCTAACATTCTGTGTTGTAAGATCTCTTCCAGTTCTAACATTCTTTGTTCTACGAACTCTTCCAGGTCTAACATTGTGTGTTCTAAGAACTCTTCCACGTCTAACATTTTGTGTTCTAAGAACTCTTAAAGGTCTAAAATTCTGTCTTCTCAGAACTCTTCCTGTTCTAACATTCTGTGTTCTAAGAACTCTTCCAGGTCTAACATTCTGCATTCTAAGAACTCTTCCAGGTCGAAAATTCTGTGTTCTAAGAACCCTTCCTCTTCTAACATTCAGTGTTCTACGAACTCCTCCTGTTCTAACATTCTGTTTTAAGATGGACTCAAGGGAAAACAAAAGATGCTAGTGGCAAGTGAAAGAGAATGAATATAAAAGCTTATTACTGTCCTATAAAAAGAGTCACGAGTGCTAAATTTCAGAATGATCTGAACAATGAATACTAAGGGAAAATTATCTGGAAAGGACAGTTACCATGTTGGTACAGATTCAGAATTGTAAAAGATCTTAATAGGTGAGAATGGTGGCCTAAATCTAAGATGAAATTGAATAAGGGCCTATTTAAAGTGCTATATTTGGATTTAGTACCAACTCTTCAAGTGTAGGTTGGGGGAGCCATGGCATCACAGACATTCACCTTAAAATTATATTGAGACTCAGTATGGTTTAGAGATAGTGCAAGCACTGAATTTAGTCAGGATATCTGAGTTCAAATCCTGCCTCAGTTATATACTATGTGATGATGGCCAAGTTCCTTTGGTCACTTTTCAGAGCCTTAGTTTCCTCATCTATAAAATATACTTTCTGGCTTAAAGGATTATTGTGGGAAAAAAAACTTTCAACATCTTATAACACCATAGAAATGTGGGTCATTGTTGTTTTAATGGACTACAGGCTCAATAAGTTAGGAACATGATGGTGCAGTGAAAATAGTTTATTGAGTGTGATCCTAGACTACAGGGGCACACTGTGACTAGAAAGTTTCCCAGGGGTGACAGAAATGTCTGAATTCATAGTTCAATGGAGTGAAGATAATCTAGCCTTTAATCTAATAATTAGCGTCATATGAGCTTTCTGGAACATTCAGTCAATTTAAGGAAATTAATTCAATCAATGATTTAACTTCATCTAGATGCCTTTAAGCTCAGGCCTTCTCTCTGTGATTATTTCCATCTTATCCTATATATGTCTTGTACGTACATGGTTGTTCACATGTTTTCTCCCCAATTTTGTGTGCTTTGAGACTATGTATCAGTCCTATTCCTTCCTTTTGGTGAGAAAGTATTAGTTTTTCCATAGGTAGACTGGGATCATGGACTGTGTATTCCATTAATAATGTATAGACTGAGGAGCAGGAGATGAGGTAGCCCAAATCTGAGATTTCATTTTATAGGAAACCCTAATGAAGAAATGCCTTCTGCCAGTACAGATTGGCACCAGCCCAGCCGTATTAGAGAATTGTCTGGAGCACTAAACATATCAAGGAATTGTGCATGGTCAGAGGTCCTGTGATGCTAAAGACGGAACTTTAACCCAGAAGCAGTAAAACAGCAGTGTCTTTGTGACACTGATGTCATCTCTCTATTCTCTTACCCAGGGCTGCCTCAATTGTTATAATTGTGCCTTTTGGATTGATGCTTGTTACCTTATTTTACAAATCTAACTGATTTATTATTTAAAGTAATAATAATGATTATCATGATAATCATCATTGTTAATACTATTACTATTATTATTTTAATTGTTCCTTTGTCTTCTCAGCATTTGTTGTGAAGAAAAAGAGATTAATGGGGGGGGGGTTGGGTAAATGAATGAATGAATAACTACCTAAATGGGGTTAACCAGAAATGGTTGGAAATACAAAATGGAATTTAGTTTTTGTTTTAACCTTCAAATCAAGCCAGTTGCGATACAACTCCTTCTCACAATTGGTGAAATCTTCACCAAGTGGGGCATGGGGGTCAAACTGCCCCACTTTGACCAGAACTTCATCATAATTAGACAACACCCCAAAGTTCAAGATATCATATTTAGCCACAGGATTCTTTTCCTTGTCCAAAACCACCTGGTCCCTAGCAGTGTTGTTAAAGGAAATATTCCTCAGAGATGAGTGAAGCTAGATGGGGAAAGAATTGAGTCACTCCCTCATGTCCACAGGCAGGGAAAAATAGGTCCCAGGCAGGAAACCTAGTAGCATATTCATTCATCCATTCACTCCATCATTAATTTGTTCATACAACAAACATTTTCTAAGTTATAATTTTTTCCATCCAGTTTCACAGATTCCCCTGAAATTTAATCATGGGCACTTGGGAGGGTGTCTATCTTGGTATCCCAGGTTAAGAACCCATGCTTTAAAATAAGGACCCCTAATTCTCCATGTGATTTTAGTTAAGGCTGCCATCAATTTGCACAAAGATATTTTGTGGAAGCCTGTGTTTCATGCCCACAGTGGGTTGCCATCCCATCCTCAAGCACATAGAACGAGAAAAGGGGTAAATTACCTGAGAAAGTGGAAAGAGTGCTGTACAGGGAAGGCAGTCAAGTTTCATCATCTTCCTGAATCTAACAAAATAAAAACACTGGTTTTTTTTACCAACCAATTTGACATGTACTCTACATTTGGTCCAGAGTACTCTCCTAGGCATCAAACATCAGAAAAATCTTTCCTGTATCTCTAGGGGGAATATCCAGTACAATGATGTGCAGTTATGGGTAAGTTCTCTGCATGATGGTGTTTCCATAATACATTGAGTAAACAAACTCTCAGCGTCCAAGGGAAAATCCAAAGAAAAATATGTTTGGACATCTTCCTTCTCAGCAAACCTTCATAGTAAACAGACAGCCTGTTGCCTCAAGAACTTGCTAAGCCTTAGAAACTTGTGTGCAGCTACTATAGAAAAACTTCCAGGACTCAGAGAGGGGCATGAGTTGGATCAGGTGTGATTAACACAGATTCACCAAGAAGGTGGGAGAATGAGCTGATGTCAGTGGGGCCGCCAGCCTCCTGGACCAGGCCCTAACCTTCTATGAGTTGGGCAGCACATGTCTTCCAACCTCAGGGGCTGGAGAACCTCTCCACAAGGCCTGTACATAAATAGGGTGCTCACACTGAGCCCATGCTCTCCTCCCTGCTGCCTGGGCCACACACTCATCGGAGTAGTAATTACGTGGTTTTGGCCATCCTGACAGGACCTGGAGTCAATTTCTCTTTTCCTAATAAAATGGAAGATTCTTGAAAGAAGAGATTTTTATTTTGGTCTTTTTATCCCCAGCACCTAGGCCACTGCCTGGCCACAGTAGACAGTCAATGCTTGCTGATGGCCTTTCCTGGTGCCCACTACAAATCCTCACACTGCTAGTGTCTTCCCTTCTGAGTCCCTTCCATCTACTCTGTATAGACTATCTATTGACCTATTTTTTCTCTTGTGTCCCCTTTTAGTATGGGAGCTCCTTAAAGGAAAGTCCTTTGGGCTAGAAGAATGAATTAGAAAAGAACAAGGAGATCAACCAGGAAAGAGAATTAACAGCTTAACAACACAAAACCTTAGCCAAGCAAATTCCCGGAAAATTATAATTAACCAAATAGAAGGGAATGATATGGTAAGACAATTAGAAATATTAAAACAAAGTCAAAAGATTGAGAAAAAATAGATCTAAGGTATCTTATATTAAAAACAAATGACCTAGAAAATACATCAAGGAGAGACAATTTAAGAATCATTGGACTACTTGAAAGTCGTGACTATAAAACTAGTCTGAATATCATATTTCAAGAACTCATAAAAGAAAACTGCCCAGATATTGAGAACAAGAGAGTAAAGAATCCACCAGACTTGTGCTAGGACAAACTGATGTGAACAAAGATTACATGAAGGGAAATGATATGAAATAAGTCAGGGAAGCCAAGTTATGAACACCAGGCTAAGGAAACTGAATTTTATTTTAGAAGCAACAGGAAACCCTCAGAGAGTTTTAAGCAGTAATTTCATAATTACTCCTTAAGTGTTCACTATGCACTAGCCATTGTGCCAAGCACTGAGGATACAAAGGCAAAAACATGATTTCTGCCCTCAAGAAGCTCTCATCCTAATGGGAGAGACATGTCAACAACTAGCTACATACAAGATATATAGAGTGTAAATAGGAGGTAATCAATCTCAGAGTGAAAGCACTAACAGATGAGTGACATGCTCATTTATATTTTAGTAAGGTTATTTTGGCAGCAGAGTTTTGCAGGACAAAGACTGGAACCAAGGAGACTCATAAAGTGTTGCAAATAGGCTAAGGAAGAAGTAGTGAGAGTTTAGACTATCTCAGTCGGCTACATGAGTGGAAAGGAACAGATGTGGGACACCGTGGAGATGGAAACATGTAACTGTTGTCAAAATAACATGCAAATTGACTTCATGTATATAGTGGGCATCATATTGCCTGCCTTCTCAAGGGGATGTGTGGCTGGAGGAAAGGGGAGAATTTGGAACTCAAAACTTTTAAAAATGAATGTTTAAAAAAAAAACCACCATGCAATTGATTGGATATGGAGAGAGAGATCCTAGGAAGAGTCAAGGACCACTTGAAGGTTGTGAAGATGGGCTACAGGAAATATGTTTATGTTCTAAACAGTAACTCAGAAATATGGATGAGTAATTTTACAGGGAAAATCAGTTCTATTTTGGCTATGGTAGTTGGAGATACATGCCAAACATCTAGACAGACGTGTCCAGGAAACAGTTAGAGATGTGGGACTTGAGAAAAATTAGGGCTGGAAACAGATTTGGAAGCCATTTGTGTAATTATAATTGGATTCAAGCCACCAGATACAAATTAATCTGCACATTTTTCATTTAGCAAACTTCTTTTGTCAAAATGATTTTAAAATGTTTTACTGATACTTTCAATTTTTTTTTTACACTGGTCCCTTTCCAATTATGCCTCTCCTCACATCCTGCCCAATGCCCCAGGATGGAACCCTTAATTATAACAAAAACAAACAAGGGAAAAAAAATTGATCACATACAAAATATTTTATACTAATAGTCCATCACGGAAGTGCCTCATAATCTGACTTCCAAAACTAAGACTGTTCACTGAATTTAAGAGGACTGATGGAATCTTTTACTACTTTCATTTACAATATTGTAGTCATTGCACATATTGTCCTCATAGTGCTCTTTTTTCACTCTTTTTAAGCTCATAAGTTTCCCCATGTTTCTATGTCATATACTGCTCATTTTTTAATGACACAATAACTAACATTCCATTGCATTCAAACACAACAATTTGTTCAACAATAATTCTTAGCTAATGGGCCCCCACTATTTCCCACTGTCACCTCAAAAAAGTATTGGTATATATGGGACCTTTCCCTCTGTGATGTTCTTGGGGTATATGCTCAGTAACATGACTCCTAGGTAAAGAGATATGACAAGTTGTCACTTTTTTTTTCATAACTCCAAATTGTTTTCCAAAATGCCTGATTCAAATCAAAGTTCCAACAAGAGAGTATTAATAGACATGATTTCCTGTAGACCTCTCAACACTATTTCCATCTTTAGTCATCTTTGCAAGATTGATATATGGTAAGTAAAAATTCAGTGTTGTTTTAGTTTGCATGTTATTATTAATCTGCAGAATCTTCATGGTTGGTAATTTACATTTCTTGTTTAAAGTATCGTTTTTTATTATTGGGAAATGGCATTCATTTGTGTGTGTGTGTACATACATACATTTGTGTCAACTACCTTTAAATAATAAGACTTGTGAGTCTTATCAGAGATATATGAAGCAATCCCCCCCCACTAAGCAGCTTTTCTTATTCTAGCTGCACTGATTTTGCTCAATTAAAACTGTCTACTTTGTCTTTTATGATCCCTCTTCTATCCCCAGTTTGATTATGATGTCCCCCCATTAACCACAGTTGGGAAAATCTTCCTGTTTTCCTCAATTATTCAGAATGTGACCTTTTAAACTATTTTGTTGAATTTCTTTCCACTTTTCCCATCAGTTCTTGTTAATAGGGAATCCCTCCCCAAGTAGTTTGTGTTCCTGAGTTTATCAAATAACAGTTCATTTCCTTCTAGGTCTGATGTGTCTAGCTTGCTACACTGGTTTACTTTTGTATTTTTTTAACCAGTATTAAATATTTAATAATTATTGCTCAATAATATAACTTGAGATCTGGTCACGTTAGATCACCTTCATTCCTCCTATTTTAAATTATTCCTCTTATAATGACTGACCTTTTGTTCCTCTAAACAGATTTTATTATTTTGTCTAGTAATACAAAGTAATATCTTTTGGAGTATAAGTTCAGATTCCCATATTTTTTTATCCTTGTCTGTGTATCTGAATGACTATTTCTGCTAATGATTACTAGGTTCAGTATGAAATGAGAGTAAAAGCAAAAACATCCCACAATTTACAATAGTATGTCATACTATTTCAGTGGTTTTATTCAAGAGTTCAAAAAAAATTCCAATCTTTAGTTTATTTACTGTTTTAGATCCTGACCCAGCACATATTTTGAACTGCAACTTGATGGCAGATAATCCATATGAAAATAAGGAACATTAGAAGTACTTAATTTGTATCATTCAAAGCATCAAATATACTAGAGTTTATGACAAACACTACCTTCTCTTTTCACTATTAAACAATTATAAAGTTCTCCCATAGCATTACATTTCCATCATTAATTGGTTTCATGAAATCTTGGATGTCTTAACAGGGAGGAATTACAACCTCAAGGTATGCCCAGTCATTATACTGATTAAGTTTTTCTTCAGTTTGAATTCTTCTGTTACTTCTTAAAGGTCCTAAAGCCTTTTCTCATGGTCATGCCTTTTATACATTTTTGTGATGACAAACTAAAAACAATTCACAGCTGAAGAACTTCCCACATCACACATTTACTCTCTAGTAAGAATTCTGTGTTATTTAATAAGGTTTCCCCTGCAGCTAAAGGTTTTCTCACATTCATTACACTCAAAAGATTTTTCTTCATTATGAATTGTCTTACTTCAATAAAGTTTCTCCTCTGACTGAAGGCTTTCCCACATTCACTACATTTAAAATGTCTATTTCCATTATGTTTGTTCTCATGATAAAAGCTGTGTTATGGAAGAAAGATACCCCACATTCATCATATCCCAAATGTTTTCTATTATAAATTATCTCTCCTAGGTTTCCTGGCTGAAAGTTTTCCCACACTCAAAGTGTTTCTCTAAAGTGTGAATTAATTCTATGACAATAAATAAGGGATGTGGCATGGCTGAAATTTTTCCCACAGATATTAAATTTAAAGGATTTTTCTGATGTTAAAGTCTGTCCTCAGGTTGAAGACTTTTTCACTTAACAGAATTCTTCTTCAGTTTGAATGATCTGATATTAAGGCATGAGTTGTTGTTATAGGCTCTCTTACATTCATTAAATTAAAAGGGTTTCAATCCAGTATGAACCCTCTTGTGCTCATTAAGGCTTCCCCTCTGGCTGAAGGACTTCCCACATTCATCACATTCAAAGAGCTTTCCTCCCATATGAATTCTCTGGTGTTCAGTGAGGTTTCCCCTCTGACTGAAGGCTTTTCCACATTCATTACATTCAAAGGGTTTCTCTCCAGTATGAATTCTCTGATGTTCAGTAAGGTTCCCTCTCTGGCTGAAGGCTTTTCCACATTCACTACATTCAAATGGTTTTTCTCCAGTATGAATTCGCTGGTGATATATAAGGGATGTCCTGTGGCTGAAGGCTTTCCCACATTTATTACAGTCAAAGGGTTTCTCTCCAGTATGAATTCTCTGGTGTTCATTAAGATTTCCTCTCAGGCTGAAGGCTTTCCCACATTCAATACATTCAAAGGGCTTTTCTCCAGTATGAATTCTCTGATGTCTATTAAGGTAGCCCCTCAGACTGAAGGCTTTTCCACAAATATTGCACTCAAACGGTTTTTCTCCAGTATGGATTATCTGATGATGAATGAGGGAAGCCCGGTGGCTGAAGTCTTTTCCACATTCATTACACTTATAGGGCTTCTCTCTAGTGTGAATATTCTGAGTTGAGTAAGGTTCCCCCTTAGGCTAAAGGCTTTCCCACATTCAATACATTCAAAAGGTTTCTCTCTGGTGTGCATTCTCTGATGTACAGTAAGGTGTTC